GGAATTGTCTCTCTTCCGGTGCTGGAGTCTGATTTTCAGCCCTCACACCAGTCAGGTGTTTTGTGTGTTTTTTTAATTTTTAAAAATCATTTTTTAAAAATCCTCATTGTTGAAAGTATTACAGTCAGTATTTTCTTTACCTCTCTCAGTGTCCTTCTAAAAATGCCCATGGGAAGGCGAACAAAGAAGCCCTGGATTAGCTGCTGTGTGTCTTTTCAATGTCAATTTCCTACTATTTTTAGGCCTGATAGAGGATAGAAAGGAATATGCAGTTCTATTAAACCAGGCTTCCGGGCTGGGCAGAGCTGAGCGGGTGTCTCGCCTCTGATCCCCGGCCCTGAAGTAGCAGGGGTGGGAGCGTCTGTATTGGTGGACTCGCAGCAGTGGGGGGACCTCAAGTTCGTTGCCCTCACTCTCCTCTTTCCACCTCTCCCACCTACCGAAGGTCTGAACTTTTCACATCTTCCCACTCAGTACCCAGCCTTCAAAACCAAGCCATTAAAGAATACTGTGTCCAAAAATAGAAAGCGCCAAGGTCACGGGGAAGATTTTCTGCAAAGGTGTAAGGTACACACTCACATTTGCATCTGATAACTCATCCATGCACTGTTCAGACTGACCCCAGAGCCACAAGCAGCGCTAACTGGAGTTTCCATGCTGCAGATAACTAACCAGTTTTTAGTCACTCCAGCAGTTCTCACGTATGGACTGCTTTCGTGGGCATGTAATGGATCCCCTTCTAACTGTAACTCAGAATGTTAAATCAAAATGCCCTTTATGTCTGGCACATTCAGTAAAAACATCAGAATTTGCTCGTGCCCCCCACACCTGCGGACCTCCAGGCACTGGTCAATGGGCTCCCAGTGTCTTGAGCTTAACGGGGGTCATGGAACACAAGGAAGAGAGCTTTTCAGCATCGGAAACATTGCCTTTGTCTTAGGAAATTCCCATGGAAAAGCAGAAATTATATGCATTCGCCTGTCATCTTGTCATTCTATCTTTACTCAACAGTAATGGTCTGCATTAGGTGATATTAATAGTTCAGGAGGTTATAAAAGCAACTAACAATTTTCTGATGAAAGGAAGAGTAAATACTTGGTCATCAAACATCTTCTAAGCCTACCCAATGCTTCTTTGATGCCTTAACACCCGGATTGAAATGTGGAGCCATCCTGTCATTCAGGGAGATGCTAATTTAGGAAATAAAGTTGAGGGCGGGTGCAGCCCCCGAGCCCTGTGATTATTGATGGGCACCTGGGAGCTGAAAGTTCATTATCTGGTGAGTGAACATGTGTGTGTGTCTGTGTGTGTGTCTGTGTATGTGTGTGTGTATGAGTGTGTGAGTGTGTGTGTGAGTGACTGTGCATGTGTGTAGTATTAGAATTTTTAAAGTGGCAGGAACTTTACTAGTCCATCTTACAGGTAAGAACCCTGGGACCCAGGGAGCTGAGGTGACCTTCACAAGGTCACAGGCAGCACCGGAACCTGTTCTCTGTATTCCGTGCAGCAGACATTGTTCTCTGAGGCACTAGCAAGGATGTCTAGCTCAGCTCACATCATCCAATGGAAACAGGAAGAAACCTACTTTGAAAGGCAATGTGCCACCTGAGAGCGCAGCCTTCTTACTTTTATTGTTAAAACATAGGTGCATGGATTGTAACTGCCTGCAACACTGGCCTATTTATAAACGAGTTGGGTGTCAGTAAAATAATAAGAACCCTTTTTACTGTCAGCTCTGAGGACACCTAAATATTCCACACTTAAAAGACCATTCAGTTGATTTTTACAAAGTAGAATCTCATTGTGTTAAAAATAGTGTGCTTAACAACCATTTTGTTTTTTAAAAGGTGTTACTATTTTTGTCTCATTGAAAATTTCCCTCTGGATTTTATTTGTAAAATCATTGCACACTACTTCAACATTTTTTCCTCAATAGGTGTTTTTATTTTTCTAAAGCGCCTGTAAGCCCCGCCTCCCTGTTTTTCTTTGCTTGTTCAAACCTCTGCCTTAAGGACCTTCTTCTCGGGACTGAGGCCGTCCCCTTAGGCTGAGGCCTGTTCACGTTTCCCAGTGGCGAGGCCTGGGCCAGGGGCCCTGGACTGGGTGAGCATCGCGATCCTGTTGGCTCACAACTGCGGTGAGCCTGCCTCTTGCAGTCACTGTTCCTGCCTAAGCAAGAGCTGTGGGGGGAGCGGTTAATCTTCAAGCAGCCATCACAAGGAGCTGCCCTGAGCTCTTCACGTCAGCCGAGGCAGGAAGCCTGCTGCCGGGCCAGCTACACTGGGTTACAAACGCTCATTTGGGGCCTCCTGAACGAAGCTCCTGACAGAAGGTTTAACTTCTTCAGGATTGTACAGTGAAGATAAGCACAAGGCCGACCTCCCGGGGTGTGCGGAGAATAACGCTTGCAGAGCCCTTGGTCTGTGACGTGACCCAACAAATAGGCCCTATTATTAGCGTGTTGCCTCCCTCTCTCTTCACCCAAGCGGAGCAGGGCTTGGTGGTCTCAAGTGTGCCTGGCTATTTCAGCTCTAGCAATCCCATAAAAACCTTAACTAGGGCATAAAGCACACACATAATCACACTGGGCCGGGAAGAGCGAGTGTGATAATGTGATTAATGATGAGTTTTTGGATGGCAGTGGTGCTTTAAAGTGCTTCTGTGGACTGGTAAATTTCATTGCTTCAGTGCTTATGAAAGTGAGACTGGCAGCTCATTGCCCAGGGCAGCAAACACAATCCGCCCGTGTTTAGTTCCAGGTTCCTTAAGCAGCTTTGTCTCAGGTCTGACCTTCACTCTTGCTGTCCCTCTGCTGGTCACTCAGGCTGGGGATGGGGTGACTTACATGTTCTTGCCTGTAATTTCTGAGATGTGAACAGGCTCGGCTAGGAATTGGGGGAAAGCAAAGAACAATCAGTGTTCCTGGAAAGGATACATGGGCAGAGCATCCATTATCACCCACCACCTATCTCCATATTTGCATCAACTTTTATCCATTCCAAGCACTTTTCCAAGAATCTCGTCATGTGATCCTCTCGGAGGCCTTTGGAAAAGCCGGAGGAGATTCACTTCCACTTTTTTTGTTAGGAAAACCAAGGCTCGCCCTGGCTGATGTGGCTCAGTTGATTGTCATCCTGTGCACCGAAAGGTTGCCGGTTCAATTCCCAGTCAGGGCACACACCCAGGTTCTATCCTTGGTCAGGGTGTGTGTGGGAGGCAACCACTTGCTGTTTCTCTCTCATATCGATGTTCCTCTCTCTCTATCTCCCTTCCTCTCTCTTTAAAACAATCAATGAAAACATTAAAAAAAAAAAAAAGAATCAAGGCTCAGAGAGATGAAATGACGTGCTCCTGCTTGGCAGGCCCTGGACTTGAACCGTCTTCAGCCCCAGACCCTAACCCTTTCCACGTGGCTCACGCTGCTGCTAGTCCATGCCCTTACCTCGTCTAGAAGAAAACCGCTTCCACCTGTCTTCACATGGGGTTCCACCCTCCACAGGGGTGAGCTGTACAAACACTGGACACTGTTGCTTTAAATTGTTCAGAGGTTGGGAATTCACTGTATTTGTAAAGGATGGCGACAGAAGAAGTCAGTGTATAAGAGCTTGTGGTCCTGCCAGAGCAGAGTGTGTCCCTTTAGGTCTGGTCAGGGATCCTTCACCTGCATGAGAGGATTCTAAGTGAACTTGAGGTTCAACCAAGTGGCTGTAGCAGGGCTCCCCCCAAGTGCAGAAGTCTCTGCTGTAACCCACCCGCCCTCCTCTCCTGGGCTTCTGGGGCTTGAAATTCTACCATTTAGAGCAGTGGTTCTCAACCTTGGCTGCACATTAGAATCACCTGGGAATCTTTTTAAAATCCTGATTTCTGGACCTCATCCTCCGGAAATTGTTTCTTTGCTACTAATGTTGTGGCCCCACCCCATAACAAAGAAACAGAATTTCCGGAGGATGAGGCCCAGAAATCAGGATTTTAAAAAGATTCCCAGGTGATTCTAATGTGCAGCCAAGGTTGAGAACCACTGATTTAGAGCCTTGAAGACTGATTGGTCTTTAAGAGGTTCCAATTAGCATAAGAATTCTTTTACTATACTTAACAGCTTATATTAAAAAAAAAAGTAGGGTTCTGTGTTGGGGGTCACAAAGACAAGTTCCTTGGGCTCTAGTATCGTTGTCCATAGACATGAGCGGTAAGAGGCCTGGTACAATCAAATGCGATGCGTGGGCAACGGCTATGAGAGTGTAACCTGGACAGACAGCTGAGAAGAAGGTTGGGGCTGGGGCTGGGTCAGGGAAGAAGAAGAGGTAGCTGCACCTGGAGCTCAGAGTATGGAGTCTGACCCCAGGAAGCTTGACAGTAGGGGCTCACAGGCAGGTTGACTGGCCTCATGTTTTGGTCCAGGATCTGACCAGTTGTGACCTTGAAAGCCACTTGGATTGCTTTAACCTCCAGCCACCTGTGTCTGGGAATGTAAAGCAAGTGGTTAATGGCACCAGATGGTTAATGATCTCAAATGTCCCCTACCCACTGCCTAAAGGGGGAAAAAGCCCCCTGGAGAAATAATCAAGGAAACTGCTTTCCAAGTTGCAATTAATTGTGTATGCAGGGAAGCTCATCCTCCGCCAGTGGTTCCGTAGAGAAAGGAGAAATTAAGGGAGGAGGAGGAGCTGAGATGGAGAGGGAGGTCTGCACAGTCTCCATAAGGTTATTGAAGGCAGATACAGAGCTCATACTCAACACCAGAGATCCGGGCCGGGAGCAGCCCTAAGGCTCATGTCATGCTGTGGCTTAGGACCTGACTTCTGTCAAAAATTGTGCCTACGGGTAGGTCTGACAGTCCGACCTTGAACTTCGAAGTTGCACAGGATCTATTCTTAGGTTGCTTTTCAGCATTCCTTTTACCCGCTATGGCTTGAGCCAGCTATGCCTCCCGTCATCTCTCCTTGGAGCACCCCCACATGGCTGTCCCATCATTTCCCTCCTCTCCCTTCTCTCTCCTCCAGCCAGTGAGACCTGCAACGACTTCCACCCGATGTTCTTCACCCACGACAGATCCTTCGAGGAGTTCTTCTGCATCTGCATCCAGCTCCTGAACAAGACCTGGAAGGAGATGAGGGCGACTTCCGAAGACTTCAACAAGGTAAGGGGGACCGGAAGCAGAGGCAGCACCTCGTCCCCCAAAGAGCCGCACTTTGCAGGGCCCCTGGGCCATGTGTGGAAGGCAGTGGGCCGGTTGGGAGAATGGGGACGACTGGATTTCAGGTCGCTTTGAGAAAGGAGGAAGGAAGACATGAGGCTCTTGGTGATGCTGTCCTCTCTGGGGACGAGCTTCGAGCAGCTGTGTTCCTTTGGGCTTACTAAGCTGAAGCCAGCAGCAGAGGTGCTTTTGTGAAAAATAATGTTGAGATGATCTTACGTCTCTTCCATGACATGACTCTGGAATGCCTTGTTATTGCGGGTCTATTGGGAAAACGCCTCCCTACCACCTGTGCAGGTGGCGGACCTGGAGATGATGAGGTCAGGAAGGCTGCTTGGTCCAGGGCACTGGGTTTCATTGTGGATTGTGGATGTGTTGAGACAATTTGCCCTTGACTGTTAAATTGCAAGATCTCTTTCAGAGAGTTGCGTAAGTCTATATGGAACATCTTTTGGTTTAGAGAGAGCATTTGGTTCACTGAATGGAGGAGTCCTGTTTCTTTCTGTTGGGTGGAGAGAAGAGTGTTGAACAACTTAGAGGAACAGAAGCATTGTGTGTACTTTTCAAGATAAACAAAATCTTTATCCTGAGATAAAGGCCTTATAACAATGATAACATGGCTCATAAATGATGTTGGGTGCAGGTGTATTTCAGCCTTGAATTATTCTAATTTGCTACTGTGTCATCATAGCCCATGTCTACTCACTTGGTCCTGGGGCATAACTCTCTCTAAAAGTAAGGGTCTGATCTCATCAGCATCCTGGGGCCTCGTGGGCTTGTGCTTGGGGCACAACCTAAGGTCTGCATTGTAGCTCCCCTTGATCTCTTGTTGGCCTCTGCCTCCCCATCATCTCCTCTCTTCCACCACAGTTCTGGTTTGTGGCATCTGGAACTGATGTAGGTTGAAAAGAAAAAGAAAGAAACCGGGAAAAGGAAAAAGACACCCTTCCCTAAGCCGCAGTCAGGCTCCAGCCTGTCTCATCAGCACAGTGATCTTACCTTCGGCTACAGCAGACGCCTGCGGTCCATCTCAGTCATCCCGGGCCATTGGTTTAGTTCACTGACAGGGGCCCCAGTGGCGCCCCTCTGTGGCGAGCACTGATCTGGAAGCTGCAGCTTAGAGCCGCCAGGGTGTGAGCAGCTGTGCCCACAGACAGGCACATCAGGAAGGGACGTGGAGGGAAGCCCAGGATTTCCTTTGTGATTATAACTGCAGCCTCCCAAGCGTACCTCACTTGATCATGAGAGATTTTGCAATTCAGGCGCAAATCATCCCTGGGAGGGAGGGAGGGAGAGGCAAGGTGGTCTGACAGTAAGTTCAATCAAGCCAAAGAAATAAGGAGAGTTAAAGCAACGGTCTTTGAAATTGCTGGGGCCACTTCGCCCTGGATCAGTTCAACTCTTCATGTACTGCGGTGCTGCTGGAAACCATCCGGTCTTTAGCTCTTCTGTGCCAGGACCACCCTCTCCCCCAGGAGAAGGGGATGTCAGCACTGCCATGTTCCAGCACCACGGGTCCATCTGCCTTCTGAGATTCCCTGGAATTACAGAAGTCTGCATTTTTGTAAGTGATAACAATACAAACCTTATTGTTGCTGATCTATGCACAGATAAGGTGTACGGAAAACATTACCAAATTCCTGCAGAGGAATGGCGCAAGGCGTTGAGCTCTTGACACCTAACTCCTATAGAACTTGAGGTTTTTGACAGGAATGCACTGTTAGCAAAGGAAACCGAGGCATCGGTCTGGAAGAGGTGAGAGGCTGGACCAGGGAGCCGAGCAGGGCTCCCGGGTCCGTGTGGTTCCCTGGGTCCGTGTGCTCCGGTTGGTGGCAGTGACATCCTGCTGCTCAGGGTAAGGCGACAGCAAACCCTGCCGTCGCTCCGACACTTCTTTCAGGATTCACACATGACCAGAGGCTTCTTTCAGCAGCTGCAGGGCCAGGTTTCAGGTACAGTTTCTTACTGTGGCCCTGCGCCACCGGCCTGGTCAGAAGTGATCGAATGTAGGAACACATGTGGGCTTGGAGTTACTGGTTCGATGGAATGTTTTTCTTGTTTCCTAAGATTGTCCAAATCTGAGCTGAGAAATATCGGGAAGAAGCTCAAGGTTAGACAGCATTCCTTTTGAATTTTCCCGGGCAGCGTCTCAGGCTCTGGCCACTTTGTCAGGAAGCATGGATGGCAGCTTTCAGCGTCCACCTGAAACCTGGGGCTGCCTTCTTTAGCGCATGTCTGGAGAAGCAGCAGCCCTCAATCCAAAGTTTAATTTTCCCAACAAACAAGACGAGATCCCAGCAGATGCAGGAATCTCTTCGACAGCCCCCCTGGAAGGGGACAGGAGTTTGTAGGTTTCAAGCGCTTGGTAGTCGGTGCTACAGCGAGAAGTGGGGTGTGGAGAAGCAGCTGTCTTTCTGTCCTAGGACTTGGGAAGCACCAGGTGGGATTTTTTAAAAATTTATATAAGAGAAGTAGAATTAGAGAGGGATTCAAGTATTTATGCTTTGAAAGTCCTTTCTTTCAATTCTCAGTAGAGCGTTCTCTGCAGAATAATCCATTGATTCGGGCCATTGGGTTTGTATTCTACGTTTTTTGCCTTTTGTTTCTGATATTTGAGAGCACACATTAGTCACTGTTCTGGGCATCAGAGAGGAGCTGAACTGCAGCTGGACCCCTGGCGCACACATGGCCCCGTAATCCTGGATGGAGGCCCTGGTTTTTGAGCAGGGCAGGAGGGGCATGCAGCGACGTGGGTATTTTAGGTACAGGAATCTCACTGGCAGAGTCTGTCCCTGACTCTGCTCCCTTTAAAAAGTCTAACAAGAGTCTACACGTCAAACTCTATATCTGTGCGTAGCAGTTTCTCAATCTTGCCTGGGCATTGGAACCACCAGGGAAGGGGGAGGTGAAAGCCTGGTAGCCCAGTGCCCACTCACTCCACATACCAGTTACATCTCTGGGTGGGGCCAAAACGATCATTGAAGATTGTTGTAAAGGTAGATTTGGTCACTAAAGGTGCATTGTGTCCGTAGGGTCACCATCAGTTGATACACATAACATGTTACCACCAACTGGTAGGGATTGCGGGCATTGATGAAGTAAGATGCTCATGGGTCTGCAAGGCCCATGTAAAAATCCTGGCTCTGCTACTCAGGAGTCTGCCTACAATAAAAAGTCGAATATGAATGTGAAGATAGATAGATAGATAGATAGATAGATAGATAGATAGATAGATAGATAGTGGATCCCAGTCTCCCACCGCCCTCTTTTATGGTGGCATGGTAGTAAGTTGAAGTAATAAGTGTAAAAATTCTTTGAGGAAGTAAAATGCATTTATAAAGTTACTTTTGTATGTGATAAGATCGATTCTGTCTGAAAAAGGAGTAAATTGCTCTTTCTTTTTCTTCAACACTTGTTTATTGAGTTTATTGGGGTGGCATTGGTTAATAGGTTGTGTAGGTTTCAGGAGTATGAATCTGTAACAGCCATCTGTATACAGTATTGTGTGTTCACCTCCCCAAGTCAAGTCTCCTGGCATTTACCCCCCCTTTACCCTCTCCCACCTGCCCCACCCCCTTTCCCTCTGGTCATCATATACTGTTGTCTGTGTCTGTGAGCTTTTTTTTAAATTGCATTTTTCAAAATAAGACATTTTTCGGCTATTATGTTTTTTTAAAAAAAGGAAAGCTGTCTGTGTACCCCAAATGAAGTTCTTAACTGAATAAGGTAGCTCGTTTAACTTCAGCAGAAATCGTGTTGAAGCTGGAAATTTCACGGATTCTGGTGGTGTCGTCGTCCACCACAATTCCATTGGGCCCCTTGGTTTTCCAGGTGACCAGCGCGGGTGGGTAACCTGATCAGCGGTTCCACCCTCTCGCTCTCCTGAGGGCTGGTGGCAGCTAACACCTCTTCAGCAGTTACCTCGTTGCCCAGACTTCTCCCGGGATGGCTGAGCCTTCCAGGGGCCGTCAGAACATTTGTTCATGGCATTGGTGTTACTTTAGATTAGGGGAGGGGAAACCTTGTTTCTGCCAAGGGCCATTTAGATATTTATAACATCATTTGAGGGCCATACAAAATTATCAGCTTAAACATTAGCTGCTATATTTGGTCACACATTTAATTAACTGACCCCTAATGCCTTGGCAGGGCCAGACCAAATGATTTCAAGGGCCTTATACGGCCCTCAAGACAGACATTCCCCACCCCTGGTGTAGATGCTAGCAAAATCGGCATCAAAAGCCAAGATCCAATGAGTTTGCTCTGCTTTCCAAAGACCAAAGTGGAAGAAACCAATGATTTGAAAAACGTAGTCACTCTGGCACAAAAGCACGATTTTAAACCGTCACCCAGCAACACAGTAGGCAAAGCACAGCCTGATGGAGATTAGACGCTCAGGCGCGCAGATAAGAAACCACTCCTTCCAGTAGGAGAGCCTGGGCACCTGAGGCCCCCAGCCCCAGACAAAGCCGCGGCTGCCCTGGGAGGCTGCGGGCTTCATGGAGTCAGCAGAGAAATCCTCTGTCAGGAAGGACGAGGAAGCAGCACAAAGGAGGCATCCTGAGACGTCCCGGGGAGATTGTCCATGGAGCAGAGCCACTATCTAGTCACGCCTAGTGGTGATGGGCAGTGTAGAAAAGGGATTGTTTGGCCCAGCCGGTGTGGCTCAGTGGTTGAGTGCCGACCTATGAACCAGGAGGTCAGGGTTCAATTCCTGGTCAAGACACATGCCCGGGTTGTGGGGTCGATCCCCAGTATGGGGTGTGCAGGAGGCAGCTGATCCATATTTCTCTTATCATTGATGTTTTTGTCTCTCTCTCCCTCTTCCTTCCTTTCTGAAATCAATAAAAATATATTTAAGAAAAAAGGAAAAGGGATTATTTGAAACCTTAAAGGTAGCGATCGCATGAGTAAAAAAGGGAATATATTTGCTGCCAGAATGC